CTTCACCCCAACGGTCGAGGCAGATGACCGACCACCCTGAGCCATGGTCTGCTCGAGGTTTCTGCCTCTTAAAGGAAGTTTTTCCTTGCCTCTGTAGTGCTTGCTCTTGGTGGGAACTGTGGGCTTCTGTAAATAACATCACAGAGTACGGTCTAGACCTGCTCTTTTATGAAAAGCGCTGTGAGATAACTGTTGTTGTGATTTGGCGCTATATAAATAAAATTGAATTGAATCTGAATGACACATGAAGGCACCAGGGTTAAATAAATAATTTATAATATTTGTTTCACACACCGTATATACTGGATATATGCACTTCTGATGCATTTGTGATGTCAGGCATTGTTATTTTAACCATTTATCTTATGTCACATTTGTTTAAGTTAACTGTGGAAATTTATTTTAACAGTTACATGTCAACCCAGATTTATACATCACTGTGACAAAACATTGTATAATTTAAATAATTATACTGCTTGGCATTTCTCAACAAGACTAACATGCCTAACGAGGCAGAGAGGACACTCAAGCTTTCTGCAAGCAGAAAGAAAAATATATGAATACTGGAAAGAAACGACCAAAACACAAAGTAAATTACAATGTTATCTGACCTAAAAAGAGAACTCACACTGGCAAATTACCTGAGTACAATAAAATGTCCCAAACTAAGAAAAATGTTGACAACATCCAGACTGAGTGAACACAGCCTGGCCATAGAAAAGTGTCGCCCAGACAGAGCTGGCTACCACAGAGGAGAGGACTCTACGAGGACAGGTAGAGACAGAACTGCACTTTCTAACCTCATGCCCTAAATATAAAACACTAAGAAAAAAACATTTCCCAAATATACCGAATTCGAATTCATATCAGACACACAGAAACTCCCCTATTTAATGGGGAAATGCCCAAATGTGAAATAATTGCTGCAAAATATGTCTCCTCATGCCATGAAGTGAGGACAACCAGTGGAACCTCAGACTGATAAATAATTGTACAGTGTGAAATTATTATTATTTTGATCATTTGATATTTTAGTAATTGTTTTGTTTTTACATTGATACTTATTTCTTTTTTTAAATTTATAATTTTTTAATCAATTATTATTTTTAAATTTTATGATTAATTACACACACACACACACTTACAGTTTCATTTATTTTTTTAATTTTATTTTTTTTATATATTTTATTTAAAAATGCTTACCGTTTTTATTTATTTTATTTTTATTTTTAATATTTTTTTTTTATTTTTTTTTAACACAAACACACATACACTTGATTACTTTACGCTTTAATTACTTGTTTAATGAAATGTATGGGGTTGATTGTTGTACGTATGATGCTTTGGCAATATGGTTACACATTCATGCCAATAATGCTAATTGAATTGAATTGAATTGACACTACAGGTGCAAAACACAAGACCATACATTAACTGAACTCAAAGTATTTAGTGGACAAGCAAGCTGAGGAATACTGGGGGGACGGACACAAGCAGGCAGCTAACGAATATACTTACAACAAGGAACACAGACTGAAGCAAAGATAAAACAGAACTCCGATAGACATGGGCAAAATAACACAAGAACACAGACCAGAAGTAAACACCAAGACATAAACTGAGACACAGAACTAGGAGCTATGACACAGGGCTCAATCTATATACATGACAGACAGATACAAAGTGAGCTAAATAGAACCAGTTACTGAACAAGGGAATACACCAAGCTAAACAGAGAATACAGTACAGGAACCGAACGTCAAAACAGGAAACATGGAAACAACTGACTAACAGAATGAAGTAGGGAACAGAGATGGAACCAACTGGCAAACAGGGCAACACAAAACACAGACATAAACTAGGTTACTGGACACAGGACAGAACCAAAACCCAACATACTAAAAGACAGATACTGAACTGATCAAAATATACCACAGAGAAAACTTAAACCTTGTCGACAGGCAGAACGTGACAGGTTGAGGCGATTTGTATAATGCATTAGAAGTATTTACTGTCGGAAATTGTACATTACTGGAAAGGGATTAAGTAATTGAGCAACAACCAACCGTTGTCTGTTAAGAATTATAATAAAAAGAGAATGACAGAGAAGTACTACAACATTTACACACAGGTTTCTATGTTTTGGGGAACAGAGATCCTCTCCCAACCTTGAATGAACATTCAAGGAGAGGAGATAAACAGCAAATAAGGAAAACACTAAAACAATCTCACAGCTCTTATCTAATATATTTATATGGGAAAAAATAATTTCTGCCATTACATTACCAAATTAAAAAAATCTGAGCTAATCATGGGCCAGATTAAATGTTAGGGTATCGGAAATGTTATGTCTGTATAACACCTTCTAGTCTTTCCAACCACTTGAAGCGCTTTACATTAAATCACTTTCAACACATTCATACACAAGGTGCCAACTGCGTTCAGTGTCTTGCCCAAGGACGCTTCAACATGAAGAATGGAGGATCAAACAACGGACCTTCTGATAAGTGGATGACCCTCCACCCCCGGAGCCACAGCTGCCCATCATAGCAATTCATGCAGAGCTGTACATGAAGGTCCATACCAAATTAATGGCAATCCAATCAATAGTTGATGAAGACATTCCACTCTGAACCATACATGAACCTCATGTTCTGTGGAGCTAGAGGAAAAGTCAGGGATCTGCAACTCATTATGCAAGGTCATCTGGGAACCATAACTTCTATTCAAAATAGGATTAGGCTGGGGTTTTCCAGTTATCCTGGCTGAATTAAGCCATGATTTGGTTTCAAGAAAGCGGTAGCGCATAAGTTACCATGGCGATTTATTCTGTGCAGCTAGCCTGCTCCAGACCAGGCTAACAGTCAGGCTTAGTTAAGCCTGGTGCTTTATTTTAGTGGTCATGCCAATCAGAACCAATGTGGTTTATCCACGTTCTTATGTATGTGTTTGCATATTTTCATTAGCCTGCATTAAAATATCAGTTTGTGGTTATTAGGTTCATGAGGTTTCATTACTCTTAAAGGAGACTTTTTATACTTTTCCACATTTTATGACTTTTCTACAATGTTAATATGTTGGCTGAAATGAAGCCCTACATGAAGAGTCAGTATAATCATGCAAAGCTGCCACAGGATTCACAGAACTACAATATAGGTCTGGAAAAGCAGTTTAATAGGTCTCTTTAACTGAAACTGTCATAATTATAATGTTATATTGTGCCTTAAAAGTGAGCACCGGACATTATATGTACCCAAGAAATGTATGCCGAAATAGAAGGGCAGAGAAGTCTATTAGACTGCGACTCTGCCTCCTGGTCTCAACTCTGGGTTGTCATGGATTAGTCCACTAAAATAACTTGGCCAGATTTCTAGAAATGAGAGCTGCTCCATCCCAAGTGGGATGGATACCGTCTCTCCAAATCAGACCAGGTTTTCCCCAGAAAGTCTGCCAATGATCTACAAAGCCCACATCGTTTGCTGGACACCACCTCGACAACCAGCGGCGGAATGACGACATGCGGCTATACGTGTCATCACTGGTCAGATTTGGCAGGGGTCCAGTGAAAACTACGGTGTCCGACACTGTTTTTGCGTATGTACACACCGATTCAACCTTAATCTGGTACAGGCCATGGTTATCTCTCGCATCGACTATTGCAATGCCCTCCTAGCAGGTCTCCCACCTTGTGCGGTGAAACCCTTACAAATGGTTCAGAACGCAGCAGCGCGTCTGTTTTTTGATCAGCCCAAAAGGACTCATGTCACTCGATTACTCAGTGACCTCCACTGGCTCCCCATGGCCTCCAGAATCAAATTCAAGTCACTAATGCTTGAATACAGAGTGACTACTGGGTCTGCACCATCTACCTAAACTCCATATTACAAACTTACGTCTTCTCGGCCGCTACGCTCCTCCAATGAACGCCGCCTGGCTCTGCCATCCCTTCACACAAAGCAATCCCAGTCCCAGCTATTCTCATCTGGACACCACAATGGTGGAACAAGCTACCACACGCCATCAGAGCAGGGGCGTCCCTCTCTAACTTCAAGAAGCTCTTGAAAACTCATCTCTTCCGAGAACACTTCCTTTATAACACCTCTAACTCCTAACCTCTAACATACACGTCCTGTGCTCTTCTTCTTCCCTACAATGATCTGTATTGATTGCATTTTTGTTTTGATTGCACTTTTTGTTAACTTACTTCCTTCCCTAGGTATCTACCCCATTGATGTGATATGTACTGTGAGCTCTTACTAGTCTTTATTGTCAGTTGTAGATCTGTAGTGATGCTCTGTTGATGCTTGTATGTTGTTCCTCAAATGTAAGTCGCTTTGGATAAAAGCGTCTGGACGCTGGATGCTGATACCTTAGAGATGATGAAGAAGCCCCGCTGTGGCGTTCCAGACGGCATCGATGCCAGTTGCTCCACTTTTGGAGAAAACCTCAAGTGGACTAAGAACAGCCTCACCTACAGGTGAATGATCTGAAGAGAGAAAGTGTGGTGAAACAGTAATTGTAGGAAGTCTATCAAATAATGTTCTTGACTATTTTTCTGTCCTACAGGATAGAGAACTACACACCTGACATGCCAGTGTCAGAGGTCGATGACTCCATAGAGAAGGCACTGCAGGTTTGGGCCAAAGTCACTCCTCTGAGATTCACAAGAATCTACAGTGGCACTGCTGACATCATGATCTCCTTTGGCCGCCTACGTGAGTACAAAATAACTTTTCTTGTCTTTCCAGTTATAAACTGTGATGTCCCATAAAGTATCTTAGCTTTAACTACATATGTTTTCTGTGTCTTGAATCACATTGGAAAGCTGATCATCTGTAGCAGTAAGATGCTGTCTTACTAAAACCCAGTTCTGAGTTCTCTAGATCTATTTTGTTTGCAAAGCTTGACGTGAATTTGTTCTTGCTAACAGAGCATGGTGATTATTACCCCTTTGATGGTCCTGGACGCACTCTTGCCCATGCCTTCGGCCCAGGGCCTGGAATTGGAGGAGATGCTCATTTTGATGAAGATGAGAGGTTCACTTTCCGCTCCAACAATAGTGAGTTTGTTATTTATGCTCTGCGTGGGACAGTGGTGGAAAGTAACTTTGGACATTTACTGGAGTGTTCTTGATGTAGTAGTTTTCCGCTGCTAAATTTGTTGTAGTTGTAACTATAGTTGTACAACAACTCTTGTTGTTAAGAGTAACTTCTCAGATTTAGATTTTATATTAAAAATATGATAGGCTTACAATTATTCAAAAATGCTAGGGCTTCTTGTCATGTTTCAGAAGTGTGTGAGTTGTTGAAAGTTTCACCAAAGAAACATTTCCCCCCTAAACGTTTGATGTGGTTTCATTTAATTAATTTCGTTTAAATTATATTACTATAATATTTCAGAAAAAAGATCAGAGAAGAGTCCAAGAGATGAATACATCTTTGTGAATCAGCTTAATTGATAAAGCATCAGATCAGATGGTTGGAAACCATTGGACTAAACTATATAACTGTAATTAGTAGTAGTTGAATCTAGTAGTTAAAAGCAGTAAAAACTAGCTCCCCCTCAAACAGAGACAAGAATAAAATGCTGTTTACACATTTATGCTAAATCTAATAATTTAAATAATAATATCCATCACAGGTGACGTTTTTCTGCTGATGTAGTGCTTTATTATTAATTCAGTATATTTACGTAATACAGGACTTCTATTTGTACTGGAGTTTTTCTTAACTGTGGTTTTGGTACTTTGACTCGTGTCCTTCTTCCTACACTGCCATGTGAGAACATTTTAAAGACAAAACTCCATTGTGTGTATTTTGACATGAAAAATTGGTCTTCATCCAGAACAATTCTACCTGTACCTGTTTCTGCTGTAGGCTACGTCCCTTCATGGTGGCTGCCCATGAGTTTGGCCACTCCACATGAAGTATGTTCTCAACAAACATGCCTCGCTTATGAACTAATTGTTTTTGTGTGTTTCAGCTCTTCTGGCGTAGCTACTCCAAGAGTGTGACACCACAGCAAAGTCTCATAACAAACTTCTGGCCCAACGCCCCCATCAACATCGACGCTGCTTATGAAAGCCGACAATCAGACAGTGTCTTATTCTTTAAAGGTACTGTACTTGTATCTACCTGAAGCTCCTAATGACACTATTTTCAAGACTACATTATTTACCTTTACATGCACATATTAAAAAGTATTCCTTTATATCTACAGTCAGAGAGTGTGGGCTTTCAGTGGCTCTGATCCTGTATCTGGCTATCCTAAAAGTCTTAGCAGTTTGGTCTGCCCGCAACTGTGAAGAAAATCGATGCAGTGCTCTATGATGAAGCATCTGGCAAGACTCAGAATGAGCTGTTCTTTACCTTCCCCTTCTTGAATGTATCTAATTACTGTCTGTGTTCTTCAGTTATGATGAGGTCAAAAGGACTATGGACCAGGGATTCCCCAAGCAGTTGGATCAGACCTTCCCTGGCCTGACCAGTAAGGTGACTGCAGCTTTCCAGGACAGAGGTGAGTCAAGTCAAGTCTACTAACATGAGATATTCAGTTTTCTAACAAATGGATGAATGCTGAGAGTTACATCAATAGAGATCAATACTACTCTTATGACCATTTAACATGAAGCTGCAGTAGGAGACCCTTGGCTTAGCATAAAACAGATTGGAAACAGCTAGCAGTTATCCTGACTATCCAAAGTTAACAAATTTGGCGAAACTGAAAGATCACTAATTATCACGTTACGTTTCACATGTTTAATCAGTGCATGTAAAAACGAGCACTGGACTCTTTCTTGGCTGGGTGCAATAACTTCTTGGAGCCTCAGCTGGTTTCTTGGATAAGTGCAGATAGTTTGATAATTACTGAGATTTAAAAGTGTTAGTAGACAGATTTTTACCATTTGGCAGAGTTAGGCTAACTTTTTCCCCTGCTGACCTGCCTTAGAAGTCCAGTGTGTAACATTTAGGGGAACTATTGACAGAAATGCAACATAATATCCAACTATGTTTCCAGTGGTGTATGAAGACCTTATACAATGAACTGTTATGTTTTTATTACCTTAGACGAGTCATTTCTAGCTACATACATCGTGGGTCTCCCTACAAGGAGGTCGCCATGTTGAGCCACCATGTTTTTACAGTAGCCAAAACGACCAAACTGCTCTATAGAGCAGGGGTATTCAATTAGATTTCTAGAGGTCTAGTTAGAGAAAATTTCCTGAAGCAAAGGTCCGGAACATCAAACGACGAACTTGCGTTATCATTCAGTACTAAAACCTATAGTTGTATCAACACATGTTTTTAGTCAACAACGGACTGTCAATCAAATCAAATAATATTTCAGTCAGATTTCACATCAAACTGGAGGGATAATAAATAATAACTATTCAAATAATAAATTCTAAATTTAAGTAAACAATTAAAGTGCCTAATTTTTAGAAAAAATTTAATAAAAAGTGTAGCTTGAAGTGATGAAGTGCTCTTAACCAATTTTATAAAAACTCAACACATCATAACAAATGAACAGCTGTTATGCCTCCTCTTCTCTTTCATTTCCTCTTACAGAGCTACCACTTTCCTACTTTCTGTTGTTCAGTGAGAAAGTGAGCTCCAGCTAGCATATTGGAGATCTGAGATATTCTGGTTTTGAACTGCCCGTGGGAGGAATGTACATGTAAAATCTGTACATTCTTGATTAAAAGTCATGTGAAATCTCTTTTATCTTTCGTCTCCTCAATGTGTGTTTCCAAAACGTCTCTGGTGAATCTCGCGGACTCGACTCGCAAGCATCGGTATGCACAAGATTGGCTGAGCAGCGTCACATGAGACGATTGGAGCACATGCGATTGGTCTGTGAGTTTCCTGGTCCTCTAAACCAGTAGTAAATGCTAGAAAAGCTGCGCGGGTTAAAATAGAAACGCTCCGTCACGAGGTAGTAAGTCTCAATAATAAATGGGCTGTAGGTCGGCGGCCCAGAGAGGACGGCGGCTGGGACCGCGGTCCGCCTATTAGTGACCTCTGCTATAGAGCATGTTTCGTCACTATGTTCAATACTTACAAAGAGAAGAAGTACACTGAAAAGAATCATAGACCCATTTAATCATGTCAATTACTTCTTCTTTTTAACTGAAATAGCTCTGACAAGTTTAGTATTTTGAACTCAACTGTATGAGTTTTAGAACGTTAAACTTGCATTAATTCATTGTGTTGACTATTTGACACTTTTACTTACGTATGTAAGTATCAGTTGAAAAAAAAAAGGCGAGAGTATGAGGATGCCTAGGTCTGCGTCTTTTGAGTTTGAGAAAAATATATACATAATCACTAATATTAGGGTTATCAAGTACTCGGTTAAAACGAGTATCTGGTACAGATACTTTCTATGAGTATCAGAGTAAAATGTGTCTTGAATTTAAAAAAATCAATTACTATTCTCTGAAGCTCAATTCTGAGGCTTTCTGTAAATGGTTTTCTAATAATATAGCAAGTTTGATAGAAATTTCAGGCTTAAATAACTTCCAGTTAATAGTACACTTATAGATTAAGCCCCGCCAATTCTGAGTACAGATACAGAAGATTTGGTGTTCTTGCTCACCCCTGCTAATTATACATGCAGTCATAATTCAAATTCCAACCAAAATATAGACACTTCTGTGGTAAACAAGACTAGTGCCACCGGTGGAAAGGGTTCCAGACAACGGCCTTAAGGCCCTTTCAGAAAGGAGGTGACATCTGCTGCTATTTTGAACTTTGACTGCGGCGTGCACAGGTGCACCAGCAAGCTAACTGCCCCGTCACAAATCATTGAAGATAATAGCAGAGTGGTGCTGTTGTTGTGGTCTGTCTTCAAGGCCCTTTATAGATGTAAACTGAAACAAATTTGGACTTAACTTAACTTGAAATGGAAAGTTGTATTAATTTGGTTAAGTTGCTTTAACTTGAAACTATGAGTTAAAATAACTCAAACTTGTTCATTTAACTAACATTGGGACAACTAGAACACTGTAGTTATATCCACTTATGAACTTAAATTTAGAGTTAAAACAAAGCTTTTCTTTAAAGTTGAGTTTACTCACATTTTTTAAAGCAGCAATTACTTAAGTTTTTAAGTTGAACCATCTAGATAATTTTTACAGTGTAGTAGAAGACACAGAATCAGAAGAGCTTTATTGTCAATTAGCGTTACACATACAAGGAATTTGTTTTAGTGATAAGGTGCACACGTAGACAAACATACAATTGACATGAATAAATGTAGAAATATAAAATGTGGAATAAGCAAATGCAAGTTATATAAGAATAAAATAATAGAGA